AGGAATGCCTAGAGTTGTTTCAAAAAAATTGTTTTTCACAGGAGGCTAGTAAAAAAGAAATAAAAAATAGCACAAGCAGATTTTGGAAAGCCACATCTTTTTAAAATGATCTGTTTTAGCTAGTGCTAATTTGATGTGTTGTGCATTGCTGTGCCAGTCGTGGTATGTCCTGACAGTTCATGAGATGTATTTATGGTCATCATTGTATATTCAAAACTCAAAGGCTGTTGAAAAAAATATAATGAAAACAGTTAACATTGTTTTTATTTTGCAGTTAGATATGGAAGTGAAAATAATGCTTTTTACCTTTTCACCTTAACTTAATATTTGTTGACTTGTTCATTTGTCACAACTCATGAGTACTAATGCTTCCCAGAATAACATTTCCCATCCAGGTTTTTGTTGTGGTCTTACTCATCTTGGTACAAAATCGTGATAATTCATATACAGCTTAATCATTATATGTTCTAATATGTCATGGGCTAGTAATGGGAAGAAGTTCTTTCCCATGTCAGAAAAGTTCTTGAATCTTGCCACATCTCTAAATTTCCCTGGTATAGAAGAGAACAGAGGTTATAGCTTCCATTCCACCACATGGCATACAGTCTTATAAACTGGACTTCACAATAATAATTATAATAATAATAAAATATGAGTAGAGCCAGTAAGTTTACCCCCAGACCTTAGCAGTAAGTGAGAATCAGTTTTTGTTGCGAAGTTAGAGATCACATGGGATGGACAGCAGCTGTTACAGTTAAAGACAAATTTTTCAGTCATTTTACTGCAAACGAGATTTTTTTTGAATTTTTATTACTTTTTGATGATGTTGACAGGAGATTGAATAGTACTATTTTGCTTGAGCACATTCAGAGAAGTCAGTACCAAGTTTGCAGAAAATTATTGTACTTATTTCAGAAAAATGCAACCCCCCACTGAATTCAGTCAGAGTCTGCCAGATTGAAGACTATATAAAAATAGTCCATGAGTTTACCATACTATAGTTGCTGATGCATGGAGGATACTCAGTGCAAACCAATTCACTTGAAAAACTCATGACCCTTCAAAATCTGTAAATCTGCTAGACTGAGCTATGGGTTTATACAGTATCAGATTATGACATATAACTAAGGACAAAAGGAGAAAGGCAATGAAATGCCCTGTGCATCAAATAATAACATGGAAACATGAAGAACTCAATAATTTCTCAAATCTTCAGAAGTCACCAAAAGAAAATTCAGAATGGGAAAAAAAAAATGTGGATTTTGCTGAGTTTGCAAAATTAAACTTCTGAGGAAAGGTCAAAGAAAGGACTCTACAGTAGGGTGAAAAAGAGTATTAAAAGAGAGTCTTGAGTATCTGATGTTTATCTACAGTAACTAATTAAGAAATGCTGTGTCTGGTATTCCTTAAACTATGATTATGCATAATTCATTGGAACAGCTGCTATTGGAAGCAAGTCTGCTATTCCAGTAGTATGATGTATGCAGGGTAATGCTTCTTTACTGTGCTCGAAACATGATTCTATCAGTAGCACATCTATATAATTCTGAGCTCACTAGGAGTATACCCTTCTAGGCTTTGATCCAGGCATCATAGTGCTTCATAGGCAAAAATTGAGTCAAGTCATTTGCACTCCAGAGAGTTGTCCCTATATAATTGAGCTCTTGGTCTCAAGAGGAGTTTCTCTGTTCCTCAAAATTGTTCCGTACCATTTGGATTTGATCAGCTTCCCTCTTTTCTGTAAAAAGAGTTATTGTTAAATCTTTCGGAGGTTTCTGTGAATTATCAGCGCACAATGCCACACAATTCCTTTCCGCTAGGTCAATAGTAACAACCTCTCAACATTACAAAATTTCTTCTTGCACTGACTCCATGTGAGGTAGGTCTTTCTTTTCAGTGATAGTATATGAAGGTGATCAGAAAAATCAGGCTATTCCTGGTATACCAGAAGTGGGTAGTAAATGTTTCCCACCATTTCCCAAATACTGGTAGCGATAACAATACTCATAACTAGGTAAGAAATAAGATGAGACAGTCAGGTAATTCCCTTTGCTTCCAATCCAGAGACAGCTCTACTCTGTCTGGTTTGTCCTGTTCCATGTAACAGACTTTGTTCCGTGTTGTCCTCCACATGAATACAGTCATGTTTTTTTGTGGAAATACATTCATATTCAGTGGAAACCAAATTGTATCTGGGAAACCAGATGAAAAAAATATCCAGATGCAATTACGATAGGCATAACAATGACAATTTCTTTAAATGCATATAGGCCAGATCACAATAATAGTTCTAAATTGCTTTAGATCCTCTTTAATTTTATTCTTTTTCTTTTTGTCTCATTCCAACAGCAACGTAGTAACTGGAGCTAGAAAAGAGCGCTAATTCCATGAAATATTTTGAGCCAAGTCTGTTACTTTTTCTGGCCATCTATGCTTGCCAAATGTGGTTCATGTTATTACTATGAAATGCTAACAGTCTTAAAGAGCAGGACACCAGCTGCTGAAGCTTTCAGATCCCCCAACAGGAGCTATAGGCTTATTACAGTGAACTATAACGACACCGGCAATATTTATCAAGTAAAACCACGTTGTTTGGAGATGAGATTAGATTTAATACATTTTGAACTACTATCTACACTAGCTTCCTGTGCTATCATTTTTTTTAAAGTAACAACACTCAGAACTCAATAGGTTAATTTTTGTTTCTTTATCAGTCCTAGATTAATTCTGCCAAAACCATTTAAGTCTCAGATATACAACAAAGTTACAGCAAATTAACAAGTTACTCTAAATCAGCTGAGGGGTAGTAGCTACTTATTTCTGTATTTTGAGCTTCTTGCAAATGTCCTCACATAATTCAGCTTACTGAGTTGTGATAAATCCGATTATGTTATATCGCTGCGGGCTAAAAACGTACACATGAAAAGTTATCACAGAACTCAACTGATAGAGGGTAATGTGGTAAGCTAGCTTAACCTGATCATGTGTTTGAGCCTATTTGCAGGACGAGGGGAAAAAATAAACTATGCTCCCTCTGTCCTTTTGTTCCCAAGTGTGCAGAGTTTGCAGATGTGCATTTATTTGTTATTTCTTAGCTGGGAACAAAATCCTTTTATGCTCTAAGGAACTTGGTGCCATTTCAGCAATCCTGCATTATTTTCAGAAGGAACTTAATGGGCCAAAGGAAAAATAGAATCCTCTCGGAAATCCAGCTGTGGGAGCATGGGAGAGTTCAGATGGGAGCAGTACATCCCATCTGAAAGATCTGAAAGATGTAAATGAGGCTATATTTGCTTCAAGTGTCCCAATACATGCAAATAAAGCTATTTCATGTTGGTGCTCGAATACCGTGGTCAATTACGTGGAAGACTTGCTTAATGTGCCAAAAGCAATCCTTTAATGAATTAGCTTTTCCAGACACTAAGTACTGGACCTACCTGTAAAAGTGGAAGTAAGAAATATTACGTTTTGCAGCTTCCTTTTGATTATTCATTCTTATATATGCATTCTTAGGAAACAAAAAATTATAGTGATATGTGAATTATAATCATATGTTTCTGTTGTGTCTTATAAAATGGCAAATGCAATATTAGAATCAAATTTCTCAAAACCCCAAATAAAACATAGAAGAAATAGCAAGCTGCAAACTTAGTTATTTATAGTACTTAGTGTTGTTTTGCAGCAATTTTAGTGGTCTTTTATTTAGTTTCCCTTTGGTGCAGGACAGAGAAACTGTCATTTCTTCGTTTCTGTAGTCTGTTCTTCCCAAACCATAAAATTGTTGGGCTGGATTTAAGAGTTAGCATGAAGAATCCTTTTCCTATCTCTCTCAGCTGTTCCCACCAGATTCTATAGAGAAAAAAAGAAATGGAAGGAAGGAAGGAAAGAAGGAAGGGAGGGAGGTAGGTATGGGAACAGAATTAAGATCTTTGAATCTATAGACCAGACAACTGTTGTGCCATCAAGTTATTTTCATCCTGCCAGCTGCAGTCTTCACTATCATAAGCAGACCATGTCTGTAACAGATGGAATATAAAACACATTTGGGAAGCCAAATTCCTCTTTATGCAGTGTGACATAGACCTTATTATAGAGATAAAAAAGAGACTCAGTCCCTCAGCAGTCTGATTTGCCATGTACCCAACTGATTTAAAATTAAGGAGCTGCCTATGAGACCTGGTGTCATCACTTCCCTCTTCCCACCACTACATTAGCGCAATAGTGGAGACTTGGCAAAGGGATGAGATATAAGGGCTAGAAGCTGACACAAACTTCCACGTACCATTCACAGTTGTTCACTTTTACAATACTAAAGGTGTTAACTTTCTCAGCACATTGCCTCATTCTGAACAAGGGGTATCAGCTTTGCTCCAAGAAAGAAATGATCAGTTGATCATCAACATAAGGAGACCATAATAGCATGGAAGCTCTAAAATACAGCCTAGGCCCTCATAAGCATTTCTGCTGGCTCACTTATATGCAGATGCTTTGTGTCTGAAGGTTCTCCAGGGAATTTGTGCTGTAGGCACCAGCTACTCAGTTTCGCTAACTTGGAGAGACGTTTCACATGTAAGGCTTTGCTCCTTTCAAGGACGATAAACCTCCTTCTAGATGGATAACCCACCACTAGCTGAAAAGTTGTTTGCAACCAGTAGAAGAGAGAGAAAAATACAAGCTCTAAATTAAAAAAAATCTATACAGAAATCAGCCAAAATAATATCAGACAAATAGTATGTTGAAATTCTGTTATGGATATGCTAAAATCACTCAGCATTGTTCCTCTCTATTCACCTCTGCTTCTCTAAGTCATAAACAAAATAAGTTATGATCAAGAACACAGAACTTGAGATCCAACTTACCGCTTATATACATGTTTAAATTATCTTACTTTATTCCATGAACATGGGCCATGCTATTTGGAAATATACTTGGACACCATCTGAGTTCAAATGCTAAATACGCTTTTTTTCCTCTTCTCTTGATTCTAAAAATCCTGAACTTTGTTTTTTGTTGTTGTTTGTTTTTGGTTTTTTGATTTACAGCCTCCTCTACCAAGACAACTTATGTCAGTTACAGCAATCAGGCAAACTGAGCAGGGATGAAATTCACTGGAAGACCTGCAGGATGGCATCTTGCAAACAAAGACTTTACCACCACCAGAATTCAGTCTTGGAAATATCAGTAGACTACATTCAAATCAATAGTCAGTCTCCTAACCGACAAGGATTAAACGAGAGGCAAAAGGCAAAAAGAGACAGGGGAAGGAAAAATCCAGTTTTATAACATAGAGACAGAGTGTCAATCTTCTGAACTGTTCACTCACAAAAGGAAGCAAATCACAAAAGGAAAACAAATGTTAGCTTGTGAAAAAAAAATGCTGTTGAAATAAATCATGTCTGATGTTATATTTGTAAGTACTTTCTTGTGATTGTGACAATTTCCTTTCCTGTCCTACATTGTTCAACTCGTAAAAGAAGATGAGTTTGTTTCTTGTGACGGCTGACTGAATTAAGTCCTGGGTTATGCTAAAATAAATGCAATGGTCAACGCATGCTAATTTTTATACAAAATAATTTATTTCTAATAATAAAGGAATGTTTTGCAAATGTTGAGACTTGTTTTGTTGCAGTTTTAAGGAAAAGAAGTCCTTACACTGTTGTCTATTGTTTGTTTAGAATGTGCAGTAAAGGTGGGTGTACAAATAAAATAATAATAATGGCATCAGAAGAATGCAGTGTAAACTCTAAGCATGTGTGTGTGTGTATGTGTGGATGTGTGGATGCATGCGTGTATGTATGTGCATGCCTGCATGCATGTGTGTGTGTGTGTGTACTCTGCAGTGTGTGAATTTATTTGTTCAAAGCTTTGTGACTATATTTTCTAATGGAAGGATTTTTTTCCCCCTTCTCACCCTCAGAGTAAGTGCATTTTATATGTTTGTAAAGTGAAGGAGTCCTGATGGTAATTATTTTGTATGATTGTATTATATTTTTGAACCTCCACTGATAATTTTGATCCTTTTCATTTCTGGAACTTACGGTTTGTAAGACTTTATGACAGCTAGACTGGATTAAGCTGGAAATCTATTCAGCCTAGTATCCTGTCTCTGACAGGGGGATGTAGCAGATGTTTATCTCAATAAAGGTGACTTTAAAATAACAGGAGAGAAATCAATGGAGAATTTGGAAAACGGTAACCTAGTGGATATATGTACTATTGCCTTATTAACACTTAAAAATCAAAGAAATAGATGTCCATCTACAATCTTCACATCTTCTAATTCCCATGTCAATTGATTGTGTGTGCATTAGAAACGATGATGCAAAGAGAAAGCCAAATTAATACAGATAACTATCATGTTAATAAACCCCTCTGAAGATGTTTAAAAAAGACAGCTAGGGACTTTCCACTTTGTTACTATACCTGTGATATTCTTTAAGACTTTTTCACTCCGTACACTACTTACCATTCCTCAAGTCAACAGGTCTTCACAATCAGTAGGTTATTAAATGTTATTTCTCCTGAATTAGCCTGTATGGCTCCTTGTGCTTTTTTCCCTCAAAGGAGCTGTATTTTTATAACATATTTCAAAGAAGCTGTGGTGGGTCCTAAATTACAGGAATGAAAGTTGAAGTATCTGAAACTGAATCTCTTTCTGGCACAATGTTAACATTTAAACTCCAGCACAGTCAGCAGACTGCATGACAGTGAATTTCCATTTTCAAAATATTTGACAAAACATGGTTGGATTTTCCTAACATTTAAATGCCTGGATTATAAACTGATGATTGCTTTGGCATAGTGTGATATTGTGTGTTTGGCATGTGTGATATATTGTGTGAAAATTCCTTTTTTGACTATGCCACTAACCCATGAATCCCAGACCTATAAACCAATATATGCTTAATTTTAAGCATGTAAGTACTGCAGCTAATGCAATAAAACAACAACAACAAAAAATCATAAACCCAGTTTTAATTTTGTTAGCTAATATCTCATAAAATTAAAGCTTTTTGTAAAATACATTGTTTTAACAAGACAGACTTCCATGTCTAGGATGGATTTCCTAAGAGAGAAAGAGAAAGAATCTGTTTTATCTGAAAACTAATGTTTTGGTACAGTTTCTTTTCCAAAAACCTTTGAAAAGTTAAGTTTTCAATCCATAATAAAGTTCCAAATATTTTGTCTGTAATATCTATACATAATAATAAGCATAACAATATGCATTTGAAAAAGCAGTACATAGGAATTACCTTTAAAACACATTTCATATACACATAAACATATTTTATATGCACATAAAGATTAGTATATGATATATGAATATCTTCCAGTTTAACAGTGGTCCAAAGAAAACATTATTCTGAACAGATTTACCAAGACTAATATACACATTTTTGGTTGAACAGTAGAGTAAAAATGCAAATTATTCTATGCATTTTCTATGTCATTCTGTCTGAAACATGGAGTAGAGTAAGGCTATGAGTCTTACTGGCAGTAATGTAACTCATCAGATTAATGAGCACACAGTATGAATTAAGGAATGAACTGGGCATTTTCAAAATACAACAGAACAGCATTGGGCTGCAGGTGTCACTTCTGTAGAGTAGTTATGTGCAGTTTATGCATTTGAATAGAATGGTGCATATTTATCTCATGTAACTGTGATCAACAGCACATTCTTCTCTTGTATCCCTCTAGAGCTATGGAAGAGCAATGCATTTTATTTCTGAAAGAAATGTCGACGTTATTCTCTTCAGCTTAGGAGACTTTTTCCTGTACAGAGAGTAGCAGTTCTAAAGATTTTTTTCTAGCAACCTGATTTGTGAGTTCTGCTTCCAAGACTATATATTCACTTAAATTAAAGTCCCGTTTGTGCAATAGGTTGTGCATCATGTCCTAACTTCTAGGTTAGGTGACCTAAATTTTGTGACCCTATCTGAGCCCTACTTGGGGGATTATTGATTAAGAGACTGCAGTCTACAGCCTCTAACCAAGACTAACTTTTTCAGCATCTTTATTGAACATAAACAGTTCAAATGAAGGAATTAAATACTTTACAATGATTGATTCTAATTAGGTTAAGAGTAGTCTTTTTTTTCAGTTTATTGGGGCTTTGTCTCCAGTTTAGCTATTATAATAAAAACAAATCTCCTAAAAAAAAATACTATAAAGAACCAGAGAATTGTATAATACAGTTGAAGGAAAAACTGCTATAATTTTGCAACATGAGTATAGAAAAGGATAAACTTTAGAAAAATTGCTTGCACTGTTCTTTACTCTTTATATTGCAAGATCCATTTTTGTGAGAAGATTGGGAGAATTCAGTCAGAAGAGAAATCCCACAGAGTCTGTTGTTATTGTGTCTTTGAATACTCATACAGCTGCATATTTTTCTTCTCTGCCTATGAAATAGCCACCACTTAATCTTTCTATACAGAAAACTCATTCTTTGGGGTTTTTTTAACAACTTTTGTTTCTACCTTGTTCTACTTTTTAACTGATAGCATTGACATTCATGAAGATACAGTTAAACCATTATCAGCATTTTCATTAACAAAGACTCTGCAGGTTGAATCTTGGCATGTATTGTCTTAGTGTATATGCAAAAGAATATAAATGGAAAATAGAATTATTTAGGTAAATTAAAATGAAAAGCTTACAGACAAAATAATATCCTGAGGCACATGTAATCAGAAGGTGGTAACAATTTGAAAATTGAGATTTGGCCAATGATCATAATATAGTATGTCTAGTTATGTACAGTACAATTAGAAAAATTAAAGAAAAAAATATAGGAAAGAACCATAAAAATATAAATGTTCAGAATCCATTTTCACATACCTTTTCGCTCCCTTCCCATCAAAGCATATTGTGAGGGCTTACTGCCCTAATGTAAAAGCCATTCAAGTTAATAAAGATCTTACCTTTAGTTTAGGAGATTTGAGATCAGGCATCAGACAATTGATCATTAAATTAAACTATGGCTTTTTGAACTATTAATTTTGATTAAATGGCTGTCACTGAAAGCTACATTACTTATATATCAATCTTAAACTATATATTAATTGATAATTATAACCCTTAAAATGCTTTATGCATATAAGTAACTCTGTTGTATAAATCACTAAGTGTTTATAAAAAAAAAATCTGTGCAAATTAGATTGTATGAATTAAATGGTGTTACGGGACAGCTAAGCAAGATCTTCTGTTGACCTGACTTTGAGACACAGGGCCACTCTTAAGTCACCTAGTCTTCACTCGTATCTGAAAGCGTGCAGCAAGTAAAGCTACAGAGGATCATTTTAACCTGATCTAAACCAAATGATTGTTGAGGGGAAAAGGACCAAATAGTGAAATTATTAGAGGAGTATAGACTGTTATAGATAACTCCATTTAGGACTTATTGAAATTAAACACCTCAGTTCCTAAAAGGATCTAGATATCAGAGCTTTCCATTTATAAACACGGAATGGGTAAATGTCCTGAACTGACCTGCAGTCTTAGTTCTGCAACCTTTCATTGCCTCACTTCATGAATGTCAGCAGTTTATTGTGGAAAAATTAAAACGCATACAGATCAAAGCCTGGGTTGGTGCATCTAGCTTGCAGACAGGTAACAGGGTGAGATTCCCTGTCAATGGCACCGTCTTCCAATAGAGAAGCTGTCTCAACATATAAATCCAGTACACGCTAGTTTTAGTGTATTTTGGCAAGATTCCCTCTCTCCTATTAACCATACACTTCCACAGACCCCAAAGATATACTGTATGCTAAAGATTTGATACAAAGTCAAGTGAAGTTCGCAGGAGTCATTTAGTAGACTTAGTCAGAACGACCCAGAGGGACTGGATGATTCTACTTATTTCTAGTCCAAACTGTAACCTCAAACCATCCAGTGACTTATAAATTGGATGGGCAATACACAATGTCAAAACACATCCCAATCTAATTTTTATCCAGAAGAAACTACCATTGTTATGAATGAGGTTCAGTGGTAAGACCAAAAGATGTATGCTAAAAGCACAGTGACTGAAGTACTATATTAATGAAAGCCTGCAGGGTATGGTGTATGCACATTTGTGAGACAGCA